ATTTAAATCAGAGAAGCGAAGGAAGATTGAAGATTATTACCTCGAAGATCATTAATCTTCTTGGCTAAATCCTTAATTTCCTTCTCTTCTTTCTTAATACTGTTCGAGTATGGACCCAAGCCCTGCATTAATTAATTAATTAATTAACCCATATTCAGAGCTGAATTATTAAGAAAAATAAAAAAGTAAATAGAACATACATAAGTTTTGAGGAGAGCAATGTCGTCTTCGTCGAGAGGAGGAGGATTCTTCTCGTCCTTCAATATCTCATCATCGTCAACTGCTGCCGGAGCCATTAATTAAAGAACCGATCGATTCAAGTCTTCAACCTAAAGAGGCACTGAAGCCAGGCCAAGACTAAAGATGAAGTAGCAGGGGTTTTTTTTTTATTATTGTTATTCTTTATAGATGGAGAACGGATTAGTTTTTGGTTTTCATATAAATAGAGGGACCTGACCTTTCCAACAAGAAACGATGAGAACTTTGTTTTTTCTTTCATGCCCCTGGCGATTGCCCACATGTATTTCGTTCTTTCAAATGAAACGACATCGTGTGATTTATATGCTGTTTTTGAATTAAATTCTTTTTTTTTCTTTAATGATAAAATACGTGTATGATACACACACACACACACTTCTTACTAATTTATCGTAGAGTGGTTTAGCAATTAAAGAAGTATTTGGGTTTGGGATAATGTTTATTTTTTAAATTATTTTTATTTTACTATTTATTAAATTAATATTTTTTATTTTAAAAAATTAATTTTTAACATCATTATATTAAAATCATAAAAAAAACCTAAAGAAACACCAATTAATATTTTTTAAGACAATTTTTTTTTAAAAAAAACTACCACAAAATAAACAGTTACCGAGAAAAATGGGTTAGGTATGTTTGGTACAAACATTTAGGAAAGTAGCATTTTTGGCACCAGAAAATAGAGATTACTTCCTTGGTTGCTGTTATAATTTTGTTCTAATATCCTTAAATTTAAGATTAATTAAAAAAATAAAAAAGAAGTTTAGCATTACAAAATCCATGCACACTAGATAGCTTACTTGCTCTTTGATGTGGGCCAAGCTCATTTTCTTAAGTATAAAAAAACAATGTTGTTGTAAGTGTATTTTAAAAAGAAAAAAAATTAATAACTCTATATCATAGAAAAAGATTTAAAAAAAAATAATGATTGCCAATTGCCAACAATCAAAATGATGAAAGAAAAATAAGAAAATAAAAAAATCAATGAAAAAAAAGTAAAAACAATTACCAGCAAACCTAGGTGATGAAATTACAAAAAACAATAATCAAGATTATATATCCAATGATGAAATAAAAAAAATTAATAAATAGAATAAGAATTTAAATTAAAAATCAAAACATTAATGGCTAAAATCTCAAATATTGAATTTAAGGACAAAATTGAAAATTTGTGAGCGAGAACCAAATTTGAAAAAAAAATTAAAAAATCAAAATAAAAATAGACCATTTGACGTTTGTGATGCTTGACTCACCATGTTTACTTAAGACCCATGTTGACTTAAGACCTAGACTTAGGTTAGCTCAAGTTTCAAAAGTAATTGGAACAAAGCATAAAAACTATTTGCTGCTTATATTTAATTCAAAAGCAAAAACTCTTATTAAAAAAATAATTAAACAAAGCTTAAAAAAAAAAAGCTTTTGGTAAAATGCTTAAAAAAAAACAAATGGAAAATGCTATAGGAAGTGGAAAAAATGTAAGAAAACGAATGAGAATAAAATTGAAAAATAAAAAGAAAAAAAATGCAAATCTGAGTGAACTTTTAAAATTCAGGTTAATCTAATCTTTCAAAGTCGCAAATTGTCAAGTTTCAAACCTGCACTCAATTAAGAAGCTTAATATAAAACAAATTCAATGTTGAAGGGTGAGATAAATTAATTTAATTAAAAAAAATATTTTTGAAAAAAAAATATAACAAAGAGTACTAAAAAAACTGAGGCAATACCAAACTAATTTAATATTAATGAATAAAATAAATTAATTTAATATAATAAAAAAATTCCTTCTATAAGAGATAGATCTAGAAATTTGTTAGAAATTTAGAAAAAGATGAGCTTGAAAAGCTTGCTGAGATTAAACTTCGAAATTTTTGCAGGGATTTGAAATTTAAAAGGATAATTTTGTCCCTATAAATATAAGTAAATAGGTGTGTTAAGTGCTAATAACCTCATCCAAAGGGGAAAAAAAAGGTATGGTAGGTCATTTTGCATCTTTAAAGAGTCTAAAAAGCTTGAAAGGAGTCAAATACTGTGAAGTATGCTTCAAATTTCTCAACAGTTACACTCATAAGGGCCAGGGCCACCCATATACAACATTTTGGGTTATTAAGTATTTTAAAATAATTTATTCCCTTCCTCTTATAATTAAAGATGTTTCATTGTTTATCTATCCATATATTTTTTAAATGAATGTATATGGAAAATTATAGTGTTTATTTTATCCTTTAAGAATAACAAAATATTTTCATCTTTAATTGTTTCAAAAATAGAAATTCTATTTAAAAATATAGATGTATATGCTTTTTTCTAAATTGTTTTTAAAAAGATAGTTTTATTATTGATAAAGGTCTATATGTGATAAGATCTCTAATAAATTTTATTGGTGGAAAAAGTTGCTTGTTCGTATAAAGCTGTCCTAGTAGAAATTTTTGTCTTACATATACAAGTTATTTATTTTTCTTCTTTTTAGCACATTCATTACTCTCAACTCTTGAAAATTGCATGCAATTTGAAAGGCTCATGAATTTCTTCTCATCAAGTTGTAGGGCATAACATCGACAATGCTTGATGACTATGAAAGTTATGTCAAGGTAAAAATTATGCTAGTGACAATAGTCAAATTGCACAATAAATATTTAAAGAGCTCATTACTTAGAGGTGTGGAGACTTTATTGGAGAAATTGATATTTTAAATAGATATATGGAGATTTTTTCAAAGACCTGAAGTTAGGCTCTTTGAAAATTTGCATGGGATCGAGATTCGGTCTTGAGATAGTTAGGGGTTAGGTCAATGCCTATATAATGACTATTAACAATTTGTTGTTACGTAAATGCCTATAACACTATAGATATAGGTTATCCATATTTTTTTTTCTATTGGCTTATTAGCTGCCTCCTGGTATTTGAAATTGTTTGTTATTTAAAAGAATCGTGAGTTTCTCCTTGTCATGTTTTAGGTATAAAATGGAGAATACTTTATGATTGCGAATGTAATATCATGGTAAGAATTTTACTAATGATAATAAAGGGTCAATAAAGAAATTTACATGATGAATATTTAGAGATCACATGACATTATGATAATGAACATTATTAGGAGATGCGAATATTTGTTTGAGACATTAAAATTTTGTTTAAGATATGAAGATTTTGTGTGAGGATTTTGTTTGGAAATATGAAAAAAAAATTTTGTCAAAAACATAAAGCTTTTGTATGGAAATTTCATTTGGAGATATTAAGATTTCATTGAAGATACAAAGATTACATTTAAGAGATAAGTAATTCTATGAAGAAAAATATATGGAGACTACTTAGAAACACAATATTGAATTTTTCATTTAAAAGTTTAAAAGATTTTACCTTGATACATTCCTCGGGGATTATTTGATTTTAGGCAATGTATTATAAGATGTAACCATCTCTTTTCCTTTTTGATTGGATTGTATTTTCTTTCTTATAAATTGTTAAAGGTAACCCCTAAGTATCAATCTTTTTATTTTTTTTATGGCATAGCTATCCTTAATGTCGTATTTGTTATTGTGGTAAAAAAAATAAAATTTATTAGAGTTTCTTATGTTCGCATTGCTCTTTATAAGAAAGGTATATTATACAAATTCTTGTTTCTTAATGACAGCCAATATCTTAATGCATATAGTGGCCAGAGGTGTCGACATGAGCTAAGAGAATGTTAATTGATTGCTAGTTGATCCCTTCATCTACTTTTAGATGCCATAGGGTTTTTAAAAGATCGATGACACTTGAGAACTTATACTCTTTATTACTAGAACCAAGGGTGTTCTTATAAGGTCATATTCATTTCTTTTACTTAAATGTGATTTTTCATTACCTATTTTACTTTGAAGAGAGTTCAATCAGGAAGAGTATATAGTCATTCCCATTGAGGATAGTTATTGATTCCATTGATCAAGGCCTTAATAAAAATGAGTTCAAGTATACATTGTGATTTGTACTTAAAAATGTATTTTTATTCAAAGTTTTATATCAATATTTTGCAATTAAAGTATCAATAACTCCTTACCTAAAATATGTTTTATAATAACAAGTCTGATACTATAAAAAATCTTTAATTTATGGTAAATGTTCATTTTAAATGTAGGCCTATCACATAAATCAAAGAATTGATTGATGAGTTCAACTACTGAAATTAAGAAGACAAAAAGAGCATGAAGCTTAGAAAAGAGATGCTGGTTCAGTTCAAATTGAAACATTGTTCAATTATTGGGTTATATCTGGAGTTATAGATCTTGGATTTTAATTTGTTTTATATGGCTGGAAAGCTAAGACATAGGTCTAAAATATTCATAGGAATGCAAGACTCAATTTTGCTGTTGGGAAGTCCAAATCTTAGCAACAACGGATAAGTCTAAATCTGTCTTGCAGCCTAAATATTTTTCAATGTTCAACCCATCTCGAGTTTTAGAAGTCCAAATGACCTCAATTTTGTTTCAAAAAAACTGAGATAATTTTCTAGAACTTTCATGAATCAAGTCTCTTCAAATTCAAATATTAGCAATGATGTTTTGTTCAGATAAGAAGATAA